CTCTCTCTCTCTCTCTCTCTCTCTGTCTGTTTCTCTCTCTCTCTCTCTGTCTGTTTCTCTCCCTCTCTCTCTCTCTCTCTCTCTCTCTTGCTCCCTATGAAAAAAAAAAAAAAATAGAATATTCGTGCTCTGCCTGTTACCACGGCAACTTGTCTGTCCTGGATCCCCCAGAGTTCCGGTGAAGTCAGAGAGATGGATGAGAGAAGGGAAGTGGGAGAGGGGGAGAAAGGGGGAGGCTGGCAACAAGAGGAATAGGTAGATGATCCGGTAGGTAGAAGGAGAGATTGGGAACAAAAAGAAAGAGAGAGAGAGAGAGGAAGATGAGTGGGTGAGAGGATGATGGAGAGATGAAGATAAATACAGCGAGCGAGAAGGAGAGTCAAGTCGAAAACCATTTATAGCCACAAGAGAGTCTGTCTGCAAGTCTAGGAGATAATATGGAAAAGAAGAGGGGGCTTCAGCATTCAAATCTGGGCTACAAAGTTAAAATCACTGACACACTGCTCCAGTGTGTCAGTGATTTTAAAAGCAATGATTGCGCTAGCATCACCTGCAATCAGAACGCAATTATACTCACAAAACTTACATATGAACATAAAGTTATAGGTGGCTATTGTGTACTTACTTACGAGTCTGGAGTGTGTGATACTCTTCGTTCTGACCCTCTGTTACTGTTCCAGTCCAAACTGTGAGGTGAGGGATTAGTGGAATGATGTCAGACGTTTATTAGAGGATTCAAAGCCATTTCCACGCTAGCAGACTTCCTCAGCTCTGCCACTACCCAGGTTCTGAAAGGAAAGAATTGTGGAAGTGAGTGAGTGAAATGCTGGCTGTGTTAAGATTTATTTTAGCGTTTAACTAAATTGGGAGGGAAAAATTTGTCTTCAAAGTAAACAGGTTGTCACAAAACATAAATCTTTGCCTCAGCACTGACTTATCAGTCTTACATGCTATTTGATGATTTAAGTGGATCTCGTGTACATGCTTTAAAGCTGTTTCATGAAAGTTCAAGCTCCTTTGTGATTTCTGCCTCCATATGCATGTTTTACTCTTTTCCACCTCCATTGTCTCTGTTCTCTGGTTTCAAGTCCTCCGGTTCTTCTCTCCTAGGTCCTCCTCAGGATCTGGCATCCAGAAGCCAGGCTCTCCAGAACATTCGGGCCGCCCGTCTCCTACAACAGCAGCAGCAGAACCAGCAGCAGATGGTCCAGATGAGTTCTGTTCAAGGACAGGGGGGCTCTGTGGGACCCCAAACTGACATGGGCTTACCCTACGGCAACCAGGGGTCCAACCAGGGTTCCTTGTATGGGCTCAACCCCTCCATGAGTCAAATGATCCACCAGCAGCAGCACCAGAGCCAAAGTGTCCAAGCCTCCATGGGTCTTCCACCACAGCACAACCCCGCCGGAGGGCCGCCCCGGCAAGCAGGTGCAGGTCCTGGGGTCGGAGGTATGCCTGGAGGCCCCGGAGGTGGTGGAGCTGGAGGATATGGAGCACAGGGGATGTTAATGAACTCCATGACCCAGCAACCCCTCAAAGGCCCTCCCAAAGCCCAAGCACAGAGACTGCAAAGCATGCTGGGAGCAGGAGGAGGAGGCGGTGCAATGGCGGCGGGTGGCTGGCCGCAGCAGCAAGGACAGAGTCTGCAGGCCATGGGGGGAGGAATCGGAAGGACTACAGGGGGAGGAGGAGGAGACATGGTAGGGTTCAGCTCCACGCAGGGTTATGGGATGCAGCCGGGTCAACCCCCGCGCATGACCAAGCAACACTTTCAGGGTCCGGGCCAGGGTATGAGCCAGGGAATGGACCCCAGAGTGGGCAACCCAGCGGCCGGTATGGCAGGCCCAATGATGGGCCCTCACATGGGCGGTCAGCCCAGGACCAACCAGCCCCGGCCCATGGTCATGAACCAGGGAATGAACCAGGGGATGATGGGCCAGGGGATGACTGGGATGGGGGTATTCGGGCCGGGCTCTGGGGGGCCGGGAATAGGGGCAGGGGGAGGAGGAGGTGGACCCTATGGACCAGGGGGAGTCGGGGTTGGAGGTCAGCCACCAGGCTACCAGAGGACAGCCAATCAGGACATGTCATCCTATGGATATGGGGGCGGGCCCTCGGGGGGAGGAGCCTTCGGATTGGGCGATGGCTCAGGGGCGGAGCTGGACTCAAGCGATGGTTGGATGGAGGAGTTCTTCCCGAACCAATAGCCAACGGGGAAACTGGAGATGAGTTTTTACTGGATGAACTAAACATTAAAGTGGGACAAATGTTAAAACCTGAGAAAGTAAAACGAAAAGGATGACATGATATGGACTGGCATGTTTTGTTTTTTGTAAAACATGAGCAAGGTTATAAATGAGTTCTTGTGTTATGGTTAGTGTGTGTGTGTGTGTGTGCGTGTGATGGAGAGAGTGAACATTATGTCTCGTGCATTTAAATGAAAACCCAATATAGAGATTAAGAAGTGTGTTTCATTAGTTTCCCTTTTTTCTCCACGGAATGAATTTTTCTCATGTTCAAGTGTTTGAAAGCGAGCCTCGTTTACACAGCAGCGCTTTGAGCCTGAGCTTCAGCAGGGGCTGATTGAACACCGCAGACTGATGAAGGGGAAGGAAGACATGTTCTCAAGACAGCAATTTATTTGTGTTTGTGTGCTTGTGCCACCCAGCTCAGTGCTTCACATCTCTCAACTATGTGAGGAGCTGAAGGGAGGAGAAAGCACTCTCAGCGCTCCCATTTCCTCCCTTAGATTTGTGCCCCCCATATCCATAACACACACACACACGCACAAATCTGTCGCCTTCGCGCTCTCTTCACTTGATCTCTCTCTCTCTCTCTCTCTCTCCCTCTCATCCTCCTTCACTCTCTCTCCTCCCGTCTTTCCCACCCTCTCTCCAGAGACTCGTTCCTCGCTCTCAACACTCCTTTCTCTGTTTAAATTCTGAACATCACAACAGAACAAATGATGTTCCTCTACTGTGCCACACAAGCGCACTTCGTCCTCCAGTGCTTTTGCTAGGCAACTGACCTGGGTGGTGTTTTTTGGGGGGTTTCATTTCCTGCGCGTGGCTGTGGATGACGGGTAGGCATGCAGAGGAAGACAAAGAGAGTGGAAAGCAGAGAAAGGGGGAGAGAATAGGCAGCTAAAGCAAGCACTTGGACTCAAAAGCTCATGCACACACACACATACAGACAAATAAACATCAGCCTGGGAGGGTGAGCGAATGTGTGAGAGACAGCTAACGGAGCTAATATTGCATTAAACACTCTGCCTGTGTGGCACAAACCACATCACATGCATCAGGCTGACACAAAGCAAAGCGATTGCTGGGCACTGAATGTATTCAAGCACCACAAGTGACTTCTTCTTTTTAAGGAAAAAAAAGCTCATTGAAAGCCCACCCACACATTTTGTTTGTTGCTTGTTTTATCTCTAACAATGATGCTGGTTGTGTCTTTGTCAATTAAAAGGAAAAAAAAGAAAAGAAAAAAAACGGAAAAGTTAGCCTTCTTTTAGTTTGTGTTGTCTTTTGAAAATTTGTTTGTCCTCCCGTCTTGCTGCACAACCTTCCCTCGCATTGTGACACAGCTGGTTGTCAATCACCGTAGCCCTGCTTTACATCGTGGCTTCTCTTGTACTGCAGCTGTAAAACGCCCTCGCTCCAAACTAGAACGTAACTGTGCTATACTGTAACACTACTGTGAAGAAATACGAGTTCTCCCCTTCCAGCGCTTTACAAGAAAAATGAACCACTGCTAAGCCTTGAGTTTGTTTTGTAGACAGTAGAAAAACTTCAGACAGCTGATTGAGCCTAAAGGGTGACGATGGTTAGCGCCAGTTAGCATCAAAACAATCAGTATTATCACTGAAGTCAGTGTCTCCCCGTCTTTGAGCTTACTTCAGTAAACTTTAGGCTTCAGGCCTTATAGATTTCATTCATCAACAACAAGCTGTCCACTCTTCTGCCCTAATGGTTGCATAATAAATATGTGTTTTAATACTGTAGTCATTGGTAAGACAACACCATACTTCTCTAACTGTTTTGTAATCTCGGTTAAAAGATGAGTGAACGCGTGTTTGTACTTGCATTACTTTGTATTTAGCTCATCAGAGTGAAAGTTTGGCGGATGATGCTGTAGTCAACAAACCAAAAAGCCTTCTTCTCTGTAAACTATCTCCTTGCCATCAAAACATTTGTCCTCATGGTCGTTGATGTTGTATAATCCAACCCTTTAAATACAAATTGTAACCACCACGCCCATCGTCCTCTAAGTGTTGCTGCATTTGGTAGCACCCACGGGTTTTGTCACGTTTGGGGAGCAGAAAGTCCTCAGTCTCACTGTGTGGAGTCTGTAGGTCAACAACAGGCAGACGTTTAGGGATGTAGCGTTCCCCACTTTTATCAGGGGGAGATGGTGAAATATATAACAACTCTTTGTCAGTGTCCAGATAAACTCTTGGATTGTTTGAGCCTTCCTTGTGCAGGAAATGCAGTCGAGCTCTCACCGCTTCAATGGCTCCACTACTTATGCTTCCAAAACTTTGATACCGCTCCAGTGCTCCAGGCCGTCTCAAATTAAATTTCAGTGTCAGACCAGTAAAATGGAGGCGGTGTGTAGGAAAACACCTGAAGTTTACCTCTCCAGACAGGAGGCAGGACGGTAAGGGAAACACTTCTGGGTCAGTGTTAAGGTCACAGCCTTTGTGACCTTTTTGTCTTCAAAGTAGGGTTCATGATATGGTTTGAAATCCCTTCAGGAAGAGAATAGAAGCTTCCTCCAAATATCATTATGTACCGGGACCAAGTCTGTAGACAACATTTTAACAAAAATTGTTGTTGTTGATGTTCTTTGTTGTTTTTTTTTTATTTGTTGTTTTTTTACTGGTGCTGACATATATGTGATTATGAGAAAAAGTATATAAAAGATAATGGCTATTTGTAAATATGTTTTTACAGGTTTAAATACACCAGATAATACAGTCTCTACTCTGTAAAGAATTTACTGTTTGTTAAAAAAATAGAGAAGTATTTTTATTTTTAAGTTTTTTGGTTTCACGTTTAACCCATCTGAGCTATGCCATTGCACTTCAGACAATGTCTTACTACTAATTTGTATTGTAAACCTCTCTTTTTTGGAATTTTTTTCATTTGTTTTTTCTAGTTTGAGATTTGACTGTTCTAAAGCAGTGCTTATTTCTTTTTATCCTGTACAGAATTCTGAAATGTTAACAAAAGAGAATTACAAAAGACCTTTTTTTTTTCTTTGTTTTTCAAAAAGATACAATAAAGAGAGACTGTTCTCGCTGATCATATTAAATGAAAGTTTCTGTTATTTATTGGGTTCATTTTTAAATGCAGACATAAGACCACGACTGTGCCCCAAAAGACAAAGTCAAAAATGAATACATAAAAAATATACATGAAGTTCGCAACTAAATGCTGACAAAGTTGGCCAGCCAGCTACTGAAAGCTTTTAGTTTAGTTTAACATGAAAAGAAAACATATGAAATCACACACATATACAATATGTCAAGGATGACACATTATTTTATTTGTTTATTTATTTTGCAGGGACAATGCACACCAATCAACAGTCAAACTGTAAGTTAGCCAGAGAGGCTAGTTTTCATCTGCTGTCCCCAGCCAGATGTTTGCAGGCAGCCTAAAATTACAAAATTTCAACTTAAAATGGAATTAAAATTCATAGATAAACAGACAGTAACATATAGACAAAACCAATACACATACAGTATAAGCAAAAGAAAAGTGTATGACACTAGAGCAGAGCAGACATAACAGGCAGCAGCATGCGTCAAGCAAAACAAACCCACCTAACGTACAAGCACATATATAACACTGAGGCACATAACATACACAGCAAAATGGAAAATAGCAACACTGAACAAGACAAAAGCACATATAGGCTAAACAAACAGGCAGGACAGACAGCACATCAATGATTGCACACCTGATTGGCGTGAAAGATAGATGGAGAGTGTAGGTAACTTTGTTAGCCTTCTGGCTAAAATGCTTTAGCTAGCTGTTACAAGATTTTAGACAGTGATGCTATACAGCAGTATAGCACAATATGTGGATGATTAACAATACATTGCACTGGCAGTTGTAGTTTTATGACAAAAGTTAGATTGAACAGGTATCTTGCCAAAGAGCTTGCTGGTGATCTCTGTGTTTAGCCACCAATGTTTTTAGTTAAGCTAGCCTGCCACACATCCCTCTGCAGTGATCCTACACAAACAAACACGCAAACCCTGGACCAATCACTGATCTGCACATGCATGGACACGGCCATGTTGTGATTCAAAGGAAAGTAAGATTTTATTTATTTATTTGAAATTTCAATGCAATTTCATCGATTGGTTAGTGGTTATTGTTCATTTCGGGGCTCCATGCACAACAACACTTTGTCCACGAATACACAACAACATCAATATTACCCAGTTAGCTGACGAGAGAGTTGTTTCATTTCAGGGTCGCAAGACTGACGGAGACAAATGCACACACATTCATGTAGCGCCTAAAACCAGACTGACTAACTGCTGTAGTAATGTTTTGTCTAACAGCCCTGATTTGCATAATTAGACTTGCATATGCTAAAGACCAGAGCCTTAATTGTGTCTGGCAGTAATAGCAACAATGAATCATGGACTCCCTGATGGTGTCAGCAGACAGACAGACAGACAGACAGACAGACAGACCATACGCAGGGCCGGGACCTTTTTGTTGTAATTCATCTTTTCCGCCCATCTCGTCAACTCACTTCTCCTCATCCTCAGTCAGCCACACCCCCTTTTCCTCATCTCTCCTCTTCATCATGACCACCTTCCTCTACCTTTTCTCCTCACATTCCTGCTACATCTTTCCTTTCTCCTCTACCTAGCTGCCTCGTTTCTCCTCCACTCTCTACCCCCACCCACCAGCACCACACTGACACACACACACACACACACACATATGCACCACACTCCTGCTTCCCATTTGACATTGATAAATGGAGACTAAGAGAGATGACAACATCATTACTCATGTTCAGTAGCGACACCACCTAGGACAGAGAAAAACGAGCGGAAGAGGAAGGATGAAGGACAGGACGGGAGGAAGATGGGGAGTGGAGGGGCTGCAGTTGGGGAGTGTTTGTTACAATCCACCCCCGAGCACACACCTTAACATCTTCGGAGAGCACGATCTTGAGGTATTCATTACTAGTGTGAAAAAGTAGAGCAACTGTTGATAGTACCAGCAGCATGGAAGATGGAAACTCATAAGCTTCCTTCACAAATCCAATCAGACAAGAACGACTATAAGACACAATTATTTTCTTTTTCACTGAATCCGCTGCTCCTTTCAACAAACCATTTACATAAATTGTCAAAAAAATAATGATAATTGCCTATCGCACATTGCCACAATTTCAACTAACTTCTTCCAACAAACAAAAGCACATCATTTTATTTTATTATGTGTATTTAATTGTTGTATATATTTATTTTTCATATATTTAGCAAAAATTTGACACACTTCACATTTGAGAGTCTAATACTAGCAAGTATTTGGTATTTTAATTTGATATGTTGCTAAAATTACTACTTTTCTAAATAATAATTCGTAGTATGTCAAGCAAGAGCAGCAAGGAGAATATTACAATTTGAAATAATAATTGATGCGTTTTTTGAAACGTGAGAATGTATGGTGGTAAGTGGCCACAAGTGTAAAATCTCTCAAGAGCTATTGGCTACCGAAACTTGTGGAGAAAGCGGAGCGATATCCTCCTTACCACACCAAGCACTATAAATGGCAACATACAAATAATGCAAATAAATAACCAAATAATTCAAACACTATAAAAAAGGAATATGCTAGCTGCTAGTGTAGGCTACGCTCCACAACAACCTCGGTATGGTCAGTCAGCCAATCCAGGATGGCCTATTTTTTATATCCGCTTTGTGTCCATTGGGGGGTCAAACAAACACAGGACTTTCACTCAGGAGAATGCTGTTCATGTCGTCTGTGAAACCAAAAGTAAACATTGACTTTACACTTGTTACGTAACGTTACATAACATTGTGCTTTTATGAAAGCAAGGATACAAGGATACAATATTTTTGATTCTGAAACGTCGATATTCAACATGGTTTGCAGAAATATACAATGCCAAGCTTTTTGGGGGGACTGGGTTGGGCAGGTGGCAGGTAAACGCCCACATGTACTCACACACAACTGTCTTTCTTGTTTGTCAGCGCTCAGAAGGTCAACAGCAAACGCAGACAACAAGCCAGCCACAAGTCCAACTTAATGACAGCTAGTTTTCTCCTGAAGCCAAAACACACACACACACACACACACACACACACACACACACACACACACA